TATTTTCGAAATAACATGCAGTACATTACGCGTAGTACGAGCATAAAACGCAAAACTTGCTACGATCTAATAGATATATTTATTTTTTTTTTTTTCAGCAGACACAGATTTGTTACACACGAGACAATATATAACCTTTCCGTCTGACGAAAACGCATCTTTATTTTCATCGTAAGGAGCAATCCAATTAGAAATTTTACAATTTAAAGTCGATTTTATTTTAGGCATTACGTGGAACACGTTCACTGTACGGTCAAACCGATCAAAATAAATCGGTACAGAGGTACACAACGGGTAAACGCACGCGAACCGCTGTACTACTGCTGCGTTGAATTCAATTACCACCATGCATATATTAACAGACTCATCGCTCGCTGGACTCTCGACGCTTCTAGAAAATTCCGGACGAACGATAAACGCCTATGATTTAAAAACGTGGGAAATTTTTTTTTTTTTTTTTTGTTAGAAGGGAAAAGGAAAGAATCTAAATAAATAAACACGCGTTTTCTTTCGGAGAAAATACAGAATTATTTTATTAACCCATCAACCAAAAAGTAAAATTAAGTTAATGCGACAGAAAAGCCCGTGGGCATAAAAACTGTCACCTGAGAGAAAATGAATAGTAGGCACGATTCTGACATAGATAATATATATATACACATAGGATGATAGACAGATATCTCCAAACAACTTATGTTTTAAATACATATGTACGCACTAACCACCGGGGCGTCAACCAGTCTTGACAGTTGTTGTCCGGACGCGGGTGGCGATAAAACGGGGAGCGTGCAGGCCGGGACGACCCATTAGTAGTTATTGATAATGACGAGTCCGATATGTGCATAGACCGAGACGGGCCTCCACGTGGAACTCTCGTGGACACAGTAGGTAATGTGGAGACCCCGGCGGCAATGTGCGGTTGCCAGGGCGCCGGTTGATCCGAAGAATTTAACACGCGAGAGAAAAGAAACGCTTTAGATAAAAATACGTATACGGGGGACCTTAACTGAACTACCTTGAAAACTAACCGACTAACGGGGTATCGGCCAGTTATTAAATCGCATGTATATTACCATTCGTCTCGTCCGAAGACGTCCGCCCGGCGGGACTCGCTTCATCGGTTCGCTTGAAGCACCATCGGGAAACGTGCCAACGGTGCACGGCCTTTACTGGATGGCGAAACGTGTGAATCCCCGTGCAACACGCGGGAGCGTTTCGTCAAGAGAACCGTACCGAAAGACCGTCCGGCGACAAGGTCTTGAGACGAAACGTGCACACGAGAGGAACGGACGAGAAAGAGAAACCGGGTAACGGAACGCGGGGACGTCCGTGGCACGCGTCGCCGCGGGCCGACGTTTTCGGCGATAAGGGGAAACGTGATCCGATTGGCCGTTAACCCGTTGTCAAGAATATAATATTGTTGCGTATCGCAAAAGATTGCGATCGCATAAAACTTCGCGCAGGGCGGTGAATCATTGTTCACGATGACATAACACATCCGTCGACGCGTAATCTACGAACCGGTCGACCATATCGATTGGTTGGGTATGCTTGTGCTTTGATAACGGAAAATGGCCGTTTTTGGACGTTACGAGTATTATCTCCTAACGGATATCTACCGGCTAATAACCGTTCGTTACCTTTTGTGATACCTACACTTTGTCCGGAGCGATGAACCTTAATAGTCGCACCATATCTATTTCGTTAAACTTTTACTTTAATTTTCTTGTTCCTATCGATGATGACCCCCTATAAGAAGTATTGCAAAGGTCTAATGCATTTTCAAATTGTTTGTTATCATTTGGTTCTCGACTTGGTATGGGCTCTATTGAATTAAATTCTTGTGCATTTGAATGATTAGTGTCTGTGTCATTTATTAGTTCTATTGTCGGTTTTTCTATCATAAATGGACCATAACATGTTTGATCCAAGATTTTTTCTCCAAAAACAATTTTGGCTTTATTAAAACAGACAATTATCGGATTCAATATTAAAATGTTGAAAAATAGCATATCAATGCTTACAAAACTTTCCAGCCAAGGCAGTGGAACAAAGTCCACATTTAATACCAACATAATACAATAAAGTTTTTTCTTCTTGGCACTGAAAATTCATTATCATTTTCTTGTAAAATCTTTTCTTTTTTTAAATATGTAACTTTCTTCATCATTTTTTGTACCATTTATCTTTTGAGAAAGTCCTACTGTTCTATTTTCAAAAGCTGTACTAGTTAAATGTATTATATTATGTTTTTACTCTAACCTAAAACGTGATATTTATAAAGTCTAACTGCCACTTCACAATAGTTGTTAGTCTCATGACCTCTAGAAGAACCCTGTCTCTAAAAAATATACCATTTTTCTTTATATGTCCAATAATTACGCAAATATTTTGTCCATTGGAGAAACTGTACAATAACATTGATTAATGTCTCCATTAGTAAAATTATCCAAGGTGAAATCCTCATTCAACAACAATTGTTTGTTCATGATACTTTTGAGGTTCTACTATACCTATTACACTATTAAAGTACCCATTAAACATAGTTTTTACATCATCATATGGAATAAATCTTTGACTTTCAGCAGATTTTATAGTACGATTATAATAATTATATATTTCTATACAACATACTATACCTTTCTGTAATACAAATATTAAATATTGATTCTTTACTAATGTATGTATTATTATTTTTAAACTTATACTTCCATTTCCAAAATTTGTTACATGTATTATTAAATAATAAAATGGATTTGATAAGAGTATTGAGTGTTACTAAATTAATAAATCACATCATTGATTGACAAATGTTAATAAAATAGTAATGAACACAAATTTAAGGTAATTATTGAAATACTAAGAATACTAAAAATCATAAAATATACATTTTTAGTTAACAAAAAGACCAAAATATGCTAAAAAAAAAAAAAATTGAATATATCCTAAGTAATTAATTTATAATAGTAATTTTAGTTTATATTTTTTTTTAATATTACATATTAATTTACAATAAAAACGATACAGTGTAATACAATGATGTTTTTAATTTGTTTAAATTGTATGCTTTTTAGTTTTTTACTTTGTATTTTGTTAATGATTTAAATTGTTTTTAAAAAAAATTGAAAATGTACTGAATTACACATTTATATTCTTACAATCCCAAAATATGTATTTAAAATACAAGGCCATAAAATATGCAAAAGTATACAAAAAATATCTAAAACAAAAATAGTATTATTTGATTTGGTAGAACACGAATCAAATTTGTATCCAAATTAGCATTGAATTGGACAAACAGAAAAAAATATACAATTTCATAAACATCCAAACCCTATACATAATATAAATTGTTTAAACTTTAAAAGCTTACAAGTTTTATGGCTTAATTAAAGTACTGTAACCTAACAAACCTTTTCAGTTGTGCATTTAGTGATAACTTTTTAAGTTATATGGGATAGCAGGTTTATTATTATATTTATTGAAAAAAATAAAACCATGAAAAAATACTTACTAACATATATTTAATACAATAGTATTTATGCAATATAAAGTATATATATAAAAAAATAATGATAATAATAATAATAGTATATATTTGTTTATTTATTGTTTTAACAATTTGTAAAACCAATACTTTTCTTCATTTTAGATTTTGAGTGGCGCAAAGAAACTTATAGTTTTACAAAGATGTTTTATTTCTATGGGAAACTTTTCTACCAGAATACTTTCTCAAATTTCTATGTGAAGCACCTTTTCTGAAAGGAAATTGGCATGGGGAGGTATTTTAGGGAGGTAATTTTTCAGTTTTTTTAAACACTTTTGTTTCAACTTTTAATGATAACAATGTTTCTAAAAAGAAATTTCACTAGCCATGTATATAATACTGGTCATTTTTTTGAATTTTCCCAACAAATGTAAAAAACTTTTTTCAAATTATGTTGGAAAAACGGAGATTGTACGAAATGTAGGTATTAGTAAAAAATATTTCGGCCTTCTTTTTTCTACCAGCAGATTTTCTCCGATTTACAATCAACAATAGCATTTTTTCTGAAATAAAATGTGACAGAAGGTTCTTTAGGTTGGTCATTTATTGATTTTCCTAGCATATATGAAAAACTGTACATTATCAAACAAATATTGTTGAAAATATATAATACCTACTTAAATTATTTTACCATAATATGAAATATATATTGTTGACAAAGCAACACTACTATCAATTTAACTGTGTTCAGATCGTTTTTTCATTAGCAATGGTTTAGTGTTGCTTACAAATATACATTAAATAACCTATAAAAGTAGCTGCTTCCATCTCCATTATACTAAGATATCTTTTTTCATCTTAAATCTTTAAAAAACTTAATAAAACTCAATAGGTAATTGAGATGTTAGAAAATAATTGCAAAATACATTTTTTAACCCAATTCATTTATAGTAGTTATTAATATTGTAAAATACTTATTAAAACCAGCTATATTTAGAAAAACTTACCAAAGAAATTTAATAAATAAGTTTAAATCGTAAAAGGTAATTTAACTTTGAATTTTTATTATTTTTCATTAATGAGAAATAAATCACCTGTTTGTTAACAATAATATGTGTATGAAGTTAGAACAAAACGAAACGTTTTGTCAAACATCAATATTGTATAAAGTGAATGTTTCATATTAATAACATAAAAATTGAATTAAAGATACATTTTTCCCAAACATTGTTTCAATTCATCCAATTTTATGGGTACTCCAAAACCAACATTGTTGATATACAGAATAAAAACCTATTAAGTTTGTACTATAATATTGTGGCATACTACAACAATGTTCTAATGGTTTTTATTAGTCTATTAAATTGATAATTATAAAAAAATTGAATAGTTTAGGTTCTTATTATGAAATAAATAGGTGAGATAATCTAATTTAAAAATAGGTATACTTAAATGTGAAAAATTTAGGTAAATATACATATAACAATATACAATATATGTTGATTTTTAATATTTAATCAGTATCAAGTTCATTATTCTTGGGTTCAATTTCAGTCTCAATGGGAACGCGAACAGATCCAATTAGTTGCAATACCACAACTGGCACATCTACATTAACTAATCTGGTCAACTCTTCTTCTGTACATTCACGTGGCTTTAAAGGAATTCGTATAAGTTCTCGTACAACATTGGGTGGCAGTGTGTTAACCATGAGTTCAGAGCAATAATGTATGGGAATGTCACACTCAGTTTCAACTAAACGAGCTCTCAAATAATTCTCAAATAATTTGAATGGCTTATTTTCTTCTTCTGCTGCAAAACATTTTTAAAAAAAAATTGTTCTATTCAATATTGTTTATTAAACAAATAGTTATTTTAATATTTTTTTACAAGTTAACATTACATATTGTTTTGTAGGTGAGGGGCTAAATACATTGTTATCAATTGATTTATAAGTAGTTTGTGAAACCAGAACAAGTTAGTCAATTATACAGTGTTCAATATTTTAAAACAATCCAAAGCTATTAGTAAGTTATAAAATATGCATATTTAGAAATACAATAATCACAATTCTTAAAAATGAGAAAAAAAATAAAAAATAGGTTTTACAATGTTTATTATTTCTATGAAAAACTTTTCTACCAGACATTTTCCGCACGTAGCACTTTTCCAAAAGGAAATTTCATTGGGGTGGTACTGTAAGGGAAATAAGTTTCTGATTTTTCAAAATGAATGGGGAACCTTTTGGAAATTTATTATATATAAATAACCCAACTTTGCTCAAAAACATTTTTTTTTAACAATAATTAGTTGTTACTTACAGATGATATTCATTAAATTTCCTCTACCTTCCTAACATCTCCACTACAAAAGTGTCCCCACCCATCATGTGATGCTCATTTGTTTATTATTTTGAGTCTCATGAATAATATCTATTTGAATTTGCACACACACACACACACACACACACACACACACACACACACACACACACATTAAATTGCATTAGTCAAATAGTATACTAGATCTACTCAACCTGTATAATGTCACACAATATTGGTTTAGAAGCACCATTGTATGCCATTTATAACTGGCTGGCTCTCATAGTGATGAAAACTGAAGTACCTAACAGTAATTAATAAGTTTGGTCTCACCATTATAATATATACAGAGTATCCCTCAAAGATACACCCATTGTAATATCTCCAGAGTTAATAAAGATAATCATATCATGTTCTTTCTTGTTACTTACAAGGATACGAACTACTAATATGTATTTTGTAATTAATATTGAAAAACTTCTTATTTTCATTAAATTGGTGATTTTTTTTTTTTTTTACAATTTTTTAAGTTTAGAGAAAAGTATCTATAATTATTATATTGATGGTAACACGAGCAAAAGTATTTAATTGACACAATTCATAATTTTCAGTTGTCAAAAAACAGAACATTAATGTGAGATTTCAATTTTGTTTGAAAAATGATATTACATTATATACTATCAATAACTAACACCACGCAATCTCGATAATTGTCACTTATACCTCAAATAATTTTATTAATGTTGTTTATTCCCTATTATTGTCAATTATACCTTATAATTGAGAGAACAAAATATAAAGTGTCGTTTATATCCCAAACTTGAAATTCAAATTAATTGTTAAATAATAGTCACAGTTGTTTTTGTACACAAAAATAATAAAATTAAGTTATTTATTAAATACATAAAAAAAAAAAATTCTATTTTAAATATATATTATCCTTATTATCTCCAGAGAAATTAAAACGAGTATATATTTGTGGACTATTTCAAATTAACTACAGATTAATGTTCATAAAGAAATACAATCATAATGTTACACGAGTTTTATAAATTGTCATTTTACCATAAAAAAAGTGTCCTAGGATAAATTGAGATGAGTGCAGTCACTGTTGTAAATGTGAAGGTAGTGATAATATGAAAAAATATATGTATATCTGCATGTAACGATTAACCATTGCTAATGAAAAAATAAATCCGAGGGGAAGATCGGTTAATAGTAATAATATACCCAATGAAAACCCTCTATGTGTAAAAATCTCGCCAAGAAAAAAAATAAACCTAAGTTAGAAAAGTTGCAATATTAAAAAGGGGCCAAGTAAGTAATTTCTTAATTTCATTAGTATAGAAATTGTTTATGTTTGATGATTTAATACAAATAATTTAATTTAGCTTGACGTCTACTAATATCTATGACTATAAATAAAGATACAATGCTGACATGAATATTTATATTCTCACTTAATAATTTATTAATATTACCATAACACTATTTAAGTACATACTATAGTTAAATTGTTTGTATTAAATTATCACTCATAATTAAATTTAAAAAATTATTAATAGTTTCTATACTAATGAATTTAAAAAAATTACTTATCTAAAGAGTTTTTTTTTTATTAGCAAGGTAGTTACACGTAGTTTACTGAGGGTTATTGTTGGGACATCACTCATTTTTTATTAAATTAATATATTATGACTCGTAGTTATGATTATAGCTTATGAATGTTGCTGAAAAACAATACTATAGTAATACAGCGATAAAATAAATAAACAAGATTGTTTTTTGCAAATGACCAGTCACAAACAGGTGGTAATAACCTGTTTAACATATAGATTGACAAAAATAGCAATTTGAGTAAATTATGCTAATAATTTTGTATATCACTCAGCCTGTAATCATCCAATCAACTTGAAATTTACAGAAGTATTATTTACATAACATACTGAACAACCTGTGTAAATTTCAAATCAGTCCATTAGTTTAGGCTACAGAAAGGTCAGACTATTTTCCGTAAAATTATACAGGTTACATAGGAATTGCCAGTCTCATCATGTAACTAAACTGCGTTTGATGCATGAGCCCTTTATCTTTTACTTAGCTTTTTATGGCGATGCTGGATGTCATAAGTAAAATTATTCCACAAGCATTACATATTTTATTTTATTGGTCTAATATTGTTCTTATTATCCTGTTTTTCCCATTTATTATGAAAATAGCTGGAAATAAATTTAAAAAAATGATCTCCTAATGTTTCACGCCTGAAGGAGTTTTTTTTTTTTTTGGAGAAAGTAGTATCATGGTAAATTGGAACAAATTTGCTGGTAGTAAGGTAATTAATTTAATTAATTCACAGGAAAAAACAAGCCATAATATTTTCATCCACCAAAATTTCATATATTTATCCAATTAGAAAAAATTCCAGGGAAAATAAAAAAAATGGCTTCCCTTAAGTACCTACTCAGTCAGATTTCCTTTCAGAAAAAGTGCAATCATTGTAAATCAGAGCAAAATTTCTGATATAAAGTTATTCACAGATAATAGAAAAAAAAAACATCATTCAAAATCCAATACATTTCTAGTTCCACTCAGAATCTAATAGTGAGGTACAATTCACATCAAGAGTGTGGCGATTTTTACAGCTCGCAACTTTCAGTGAAAAAATTAACTATGCTACCAAAGTATTTATGTGTGTTTATACACATTTCACAGTGTATTTGCTACTTTACTTTCTTATTATACTATTAGTATGTACACTAGACTAAAAATATTATACTAGGTTAAATAAAATAAAATAAAAATAATATTGAACATTAGATATTAAATAAAAAATGTACAATTTTTTTTTTCCATCCAGTCTAAATCTAAAAATTGGTTTTATTTGTATTCTAATATGAAACAAAATGCAATAGAGGAATGGATAGTAAATATTTTAATAATATTAATTATATATGTTCTAATCTTATATAAGTTAGATATAAAGTTTATTACCTTGGTTTTCAGATTTTTCATGATCCTTATTATGGAATTTCTTATAAAAGAAATCAGTAGTTGTTAGCAATTGATCACAGAAGATTTCTTGGGGTGATTTATTTATGTTTTCTGTTGAGTCAATAATGTTATCATCTAGATAAAAATGATTAACCCGTTCCCTACTTGTTTTGATATTGTTTATAAATTCCTCTTTAGCTCTCTTCTTCATTAGACCTTTGAAATGGAATAATTTGAACATTAAAACCCAACATTGTTTGATTAGGTCTATTATAATTTTTCTTTGTCTATGTAAATAAAATTATGTTGGTAGAACAGGATTGATCAAGATTTTCTTCTTTGTCTTCAACAGACTCCTCAATAAAAGGATAAATAAATTGCTGTGAACTTGAAGATGGCATATTTCTCATGTTTTCTTCACTTGAATCATTAATTGTGTTTTCCTGGGTGTTATAGGTCATATTTAAATTAGGAATGTCATTAGTTTCAGATTCATTTCTCCCCCGATAGGAATAATTTCTTAGCATATTTGTACCACTGACACTTGGTATTGGTTCTATAATTGTATTTGAATCAATACAAATGTGACCAAGCTCTTTTTCAAAAGTTACAGAATCTTCTAAATATTCATCAACATCCTCGGTAGCATCGGTGGCAATGTCCATAATATTATCATTGACCTTAGTTAAAATCTTCTCATCGTCTTCCTTGTTACTTTCAGTTGAACATCCTGGCTCAGCATTATGGTTTAGTGAATTATCAGTACCATGATCTTCTCCATCATCCCAGTATTTCAAAACATCATAGTTTATTTTAGTTTTTTTAGTAGAGTTACTTTTTGTTTTATTCTTTCGTTTTTGTGACTTATATTTCAATTCTGATTTAGCTCCATCTAAATGTTCATCAATATCCTCAGTAGCATCGGTGGCAATGTCCATAATATGATCATAAAACTTAGATAAAATCTTTTCCTTATTACTTTCAGTCGAACATCCTGATTCGGCATTATGAATTAGTAAATTATCAGCACTTTGATCTTCTCCATCATCACAGTCTTTCAAAACATCATCGTTTATTTTAGTTTTTTTAGTAAAGTTTCTTTTTGTTCTATTCGTTCGTTTTTGTGACTTATATTTCAATTCTGATTTAGCTCCACCTAAATGTTCATCAACATTCTCAGTAGCATCGGTGGCAATGTCCATAATATGATCATAAAACTTAGTTAAATTCGTCTCCTCATTGTCTTCCTTGTTACTTTCAGTTGAACATCCTGATTCGGCATTATGAATTAGTAAATTATCAGCACTTTGATCTTCTCCATCATCACAGTCTTTCAAAACATCATCGTTTATTTTAGTTTTTTTAGTAAAGTTTTTTTGTGTTCTATTCCTTCGTTTTTGTGACTTATATTTCAATTCTGATTTAGCTCCATCTAAATGTTCATCAACATCCTCAGTAGCATCGGTGGCTATGTCCATAATATTATCATTGACCTTAGTTAAAATCGTCTCCTCATTGTCTTCCTTGTTACTTTCAGTTGAACATCCTGATTCGGCATTATGAATTAGTAAATTATCAGCACTTTGATCTTCTCCATCATCACAGTCTTTCAAAACATCATCGTTTATTTTAGTTTTTTTAGTAAAGTTTCTTTTTGTTCTATTCGTTCGTTTTTGTGACTTATATTTCAATTCTGATTTAGCTCCATCTAAATGTTCATCAACATTCTCAGTAGCATCGGTGGCAATGTCCATAATATGATCATAAAACTTAGATAAAATCTTTTCCTTATTACTTTCAGTCGAACATCCTGGTTCGACATTATGAATTAGTAAATTATCAGCAACTTGATCTTCTCCATCATCACAGTCTTTCAAAACATCATCGTTTATTTTAGTTTTTTTAGTAAAGTTTCTTTTTGT